CTATTGGCCTTCATGAGACTCAGATAAATGGTGAGTATCTATTTCATAAATTGCCTAAAACAGTTATATTTGTAACTTTTAAAGTCAATTTGTGTATTGAAAGTTGGACGTAAGATTGTTTAACATGTTACAAGGGTTCTCTCTGTTTGGGGACATACATTTGAAAAAAGAAGAAAAGGATTGCTGCTCCAAGACGGAGCTTTGTATAAACGGGTGGCGCATTGCATGAGGAAGCATTGAAGCACTACTGAATGGTTGCCAGTAAGTTGTCGCAAACATGTTTTCATCAGGAAATGACTCCTCATGAACATGGAATTATAACAAGATATAAAGCTCAAATCTAAACAATTGATGGTGATATACACACCAAATAAGGGCTGTTCACTTTAATTTATCAACCCTTTGTTTTTGAATTTTGGGGGATTTTTTCTGTTTGACTTTCTGCATTGAGTTGTTCTTCTTGTGTCATCTATCCTGAATTATTGATCAAAAAGTAAAAAAATTGTAAAGAGAAAAATGTTTCTCCCAAAAGGAAGGATGGAGATAGAAAATTCCATGAAACAACAGGTCTTGTTTTTATTTGTTTTTTGTTTGTGTATTTTGTCTGGTTGCAGAGAGGATCACACCTGTCGACAACAAACAAAGGTTTAAGAACTACTGACTTTTCAGTCAGAAATGATCACACCGCCTGGTTGAAGTCTCCATATGCAAGTCAACAAAGGTGAAACAAACATTTAAGCAAATGCTGAATTTATATGATGTCCATGTAGTGCATCTTTCTAACTTTTGCTTTGTTTGTTTTCCAGCAGAGAGGAAACACCCGATTGACAACATGCGAGTCTCAATTTCAACCTGTGACTGGGAAGACTACAACCATCCTGAGCAAAGTCTGAACTCAGTGACTCTCAACCCAGAACAAGAATCGTTTTATCACCGGTTTTTCTTCTACAACAGGCTATCTCTTATGTGGACACATGCTGTTTTTTTGTTTGTTTGTTTTGTTTTCCAGATCTCAATAACACCGTGAGGAAACTGGACAGAAAATAGAATCAGTTATTTTTTTAAATTAATTTTTAAATAGAAATTGTTTCTTTAAGTGGATTACTCATAATCTGTATTTTTTGTTTAATTTGAATAAATATTCTTTATAACTTTCTGTATAGAAATGCTGACAATTTACACTTCCTTGTGTGTTGTACTATAATTTTTATGGTAAAATTCTGGTAAGAACAGTGACCAGTAATTTACTATAAGGTTTTTGTTTGTTTTTTTACAATAAAATGTCAATATATCATACAGTCTGGCCGTGTTTTTCACTTATGTAGATATTATGCCTCAGGCAGTATGACCGTATTTATTACGGCAAAACCACATTTTAATTTTTTTTTTACATATTTTAGGAAATACGGTATTTTACAGTATTTTGGAAATACGGTAAAAAATTGGCAGTTTTGGTTGCCAGAATTTTACCGTATTTTAAAAATACAGTAAAATACTGCAATTTCAAAATACGGTAAAAAACTGGCAGTTTTGGTTGCCAGAATTTCACCATATTTTTGAAATACAGTAAAATACTGCATTTCCAAAATACGGTAAAAAACTGGCAGTTTTGGTTGCCAGAATTTTACCGTATTTTAGAAATACGGTAAAAAACTGGCAGTTTTGGTTACCAGAATTTTACCGTATAAAGACAGTAAAATACTGGCAGCCACAGCTGCC